TCGCGTGTTCCATTCTCTTTGCTTTCAGTCAAAAAATCACTTTATGATTGATTGTCTAATAATAATACTAAGAAAGCTTACAACATTCCCTACTCCTACGCTACCCCTATAATAAGACAAAACATGTCGTCAACACGGGACGGAATGACAACAGGATGGATGGTTCATCTCATCTCATCTATGAATCGATACATTTACCACTACAAATACTACCACCTACCTACCTCTACTATGACAATTTGATAATTCTTTCTTATTTTCTTTTACCATTGATGACAAGGCTACACCATTCTCCTATCTTTTCATAGCATAGCTTCAATGTCCATCGTACCTTGAAATAAACGACAGACCTTATATCATGGCCTCTTGTAGTATTTTCTTCATACCATCTTATCATAGGGAAACAGACAGACAGACAGACAGTGGACAGACAGATAGACAAACACAAACATCACACACCTAAGCTGAAAATAGAGCGGAAAAGCTGGGAGTGACGAAGTGAAGCATCTGCAGCGTTCTATGATGACGATGCATTCCGCACTGTTTATTGCTGATGATATGGTTGACGGCATCGGGTCGATAACCTAGCGTGGATTGATGGGAAGATGAATAGATAGATTGATGATGGGTGATGGTCATATATGCTTCGGTTGGACCAAATGTTGGCTATATCTCGCTGATGTCTTCTGAATTCCTTGTGGCAACTGTCGCATTCAACACAACAACAACGGCGATCTTAACAGTGGCTTTTGCAGCAGATTGTCTGACATAGCGATCTGATTTATGGAAAGTTTCAATGAAATCTTTTATATATCCTTTCTTTATACAGATATTGGTGCTATTAAAGGGATGGATGAATAGCTATATGAAGTTGAAGAAAGGCTTGGAATCTTCCTCTCTTCTCATATTTTCCCCATAACATTCGAAAGCTTACTTTTGTGAAAGGAGAGGGCAAAGTTTTTTCTTTTCTTCATTAAGTTCAAAGAATGCTGCCGTATCATATGTTATTGATTAGTTCTTGAGATAAATTATATCTTGAAAGCAGTTAAACAAACTTTTTAATTGAAATGAACAAATAGATGATCATCGTGATATAAGTCAAATGACGACGAGTACACTGGAAAGGATACGATGGTATCCTTCATTGACACTTAATTTTAATTTCTTATTAAAGTCTTTCTTTATTTCCTCGTCCTCAAACTCTCTTATAAAGATCATCGTTAATTATTGTGCATTTGCATGAATGTTTTCCTGGATGATATAATGGCATAGTTAAACAAGCAATCATTTGGATGATGAAATTAACAGCAATAACAGTGGTGTATTGAACTGTAATTATTCGATAAATAAAAAAGTGGACAATTTCTTGTTTAAGTGCCAAAAATGACTGCCGAAAAATACAAAACTAATGTGGTAACTATTGGACCAATTGAGAAGAAACTTTTCTTATCTTTTCATTATTTCTTCTCCCTTTATGAGATATCATTACTACTCATTTATACATTACAATATTGTCTAATTTTATTCTGACTATTTATTGAATAGATTCTCAATTAATAAATACAATGAAATTGAGAATTAAAGGTATTGTTTATTATATGTATATTGATTCTTATCACAATTTCATCGTTCTTAGTTAGTAAATCAATAAGAAGTAAGATAGGATAAAGGTTGCCATCTTTATACTGCCATGATTGATAAAAGAATGATAAGTATGTCTTTAGGTTATCATTGATAATCTTGTTTTTGTGTGTTGTGTTCTAGCTAGTCGAATAAAGTGTTTCATGAAGAGGAAGGAATGAAAAAAAAAATGATTTACTTCCCTTCCCTTCTCTTTTCTTCTCTTCTCTGCGATCTTCAAACACACTCCGGCTTATCCTTTGAAAAATTCAATTTTTGTTCTCTGCATATCAACAAAACGAGTGGAAAAATCAATATGGAAAAAGTTTTCTCTTTCTCTCTCCCCTTCTCTCTCTCTCTCTCTCTCCCTCTCTATGCCTCTTACCAACACCCCTTATTTTATAGGAGTATGGAAAATATGACTAAGAATTCTTTTAGAAGAGCATTTTCTTTCTTGATTTTTTGAAATTAACTTCCGAATAATTTATTATTAGCCATATTCCGATCCGGAAATGACTAACTTAACTTATTGTATCCATTTTATAGACATTCCATGTTTAACCAGATCGATATGAAATCTTATTTGTTCATGCTTCATGTGCTCTTGTCCATGTCTCATTCGTACAAAGCCAGCTGTTAATGTAATAACTGCAATCCGGTCTACCGACTATAAATCTTTATCAATGGAAGAAGCATTTTTCTCATTTTCTTCCATTCATTATTCTGTAATAAATTGTCAGTGTAGTAAAACACGAACTAGCCATTCCATTGCATTCTTTCTCCCGAGAAATCTTTGATACATTTGGTTACCTTGGAGTAGAATACGGTAATTTAAGCTGGGCTGTCATTTGACAATCCAATGTCCAGGATAACTTGTATGTTCGGATGAGTGAGCATAGATTTCTAGATCAAATGAGCTTTTTAATATAATGAAAGATAGTATTGAGACTGTATTTCCGAAATCAAAACCACAACAAATGGTATCTTAGGTGCATTTTAAATTTGTGCATCTTTTGTAGTGCCGAAACGGTGAAATGGAATATTGGATGGCGGATTCCATCTTATACATCCATCTATTATTTATACATTTATTTTGCTGTGCATTCTTTACAATTCATCTGTTGCCGTTAGCAGTACATACCTGAAACCTATTTATTTCTATAGTATTCACATGGTTGTAGTAGCCATAATAGGAGACAGGGAAGAGGGTGTTAACACTATTTGATGTGCTCATCTGGCACATTGACATGAATATATATATATATATATTTGCCATACATTTCCACCATCTTATACTCGCAATTAGAGGGTATGAAAAGCACTGCATAGAATGAAAGAGATGGATTGATTCACTGTCGAATATTCATCTTCCAATATTTCTTTTTCGGTGACCCTATTGATTTCTATAATTTATTCGTGTTAAATTGCTTGTCATACAGTTGAAGGATCTAAAAGATTTGAAGTACCAAAAGTAATTCATTTTTGGATGATAATTTAAATAAATAAATGTATATATGCGTGTCAAGTTTCCTTAATAACTTGAACCATACCAAATTAGGAGCACAGTACATTATCATTCGGGAATTAATAATGCTTTTTGCTAAATGCTGCATGAATTAATTCAATAAGCTGTCAGAACTGAACTTTTGCAGACTACTCTGAAGTTTGTTGTGTATATTCTTCATCAAATTAGAAATTGTTGAGTAAATTGATTATATAATTGTGCATTTGACCTTTCCTGAAAAATAATAAATTTGTTGCTACTATATATAAAGTATATATGTATATATACTTTTTGATTTTTTTCCTCCATCAATTGCTTCAATAATGTCATGTAAAAAGCGCAGTTCAAATCACTGTGACAGTTGGTGACTTCTTTTTGATGAGAAAAATGAATTTATAAATTGGGCAAGAAGAAAAAGTTCTCAAATAAAGAAAGGACCTATTTTTCTATGTGTCAGTGGAAAAAAGAAAAAAAAGAAAATCAACTTGCAAACAAACAGAGCTGGTTGTTTCTGTTTTATTTGTTCGAAAAAGAATGATAAGTGAGAGTTTTTCTTTTCTTTTTTTTGACGAGGAAGCTTTCTCAAACAAATTTCAATCAGCGGTACCATCAGTGCCACCTTCACCACTGTTGATCATACTGTACTATAATGGAGATTGAAAATACCCCATCTTATCCAACGGATTTTTATTTCATTTGTCAGAAAAATCAATCGAATCCTTTTACGTCATGTTTTTTTCTCATTCATCAAACGGATAATTTTTGTATAATGCTTGTAGATTTATGCACTGATTGTCGTATACGTTGCTGTAGAGATGACCTTTTGGAAATGATTGGTTATTGGGCCATCTGGAACTGGACAATGAGAACAGGATAAGAGTGAAGAAGCACACTGGAGTGGAACAGCGCAGGATGTCTCTACCTGTGTATTTGGATTTATTCGATTTGATTTCAATTTTCTGTCCTCATTTAAAACCTAAAGTATATATTGTATGGTAATCAGTTTTTTCTTCCGATATATCTCAAAAAGTTAAGCTAAAGAACATCTCATAAATTCCTTTTTTCTTCAAGTTTTTGCTTTCACTGTACATTTTGTTTCATTTCACTTTGTCATTTCTCCTGATTGAAAATTTAAGATATATCCTCCTTCTACATGCATTGATGTTTGTGGTTTCCAAACAAAAGGGAAATTATAAGAGAACATTACGAAATCTAACAGTAAGAGTGACGAAATGTTGTGTCCATAGAAGGCTATGTATACTTTAAAAGTTGAATAGCTTTCAAGTCAAGTTTTTTTCTAATCGAAATTCAAAATGTTTCATACATTTCTTATTCTTGCATATTCCCGTGCGAAAACTTTGCTGTGAATTCGGGAACTGAACTAACGTGTCGTCGTATCCAACATCAAATGTAACGGTCAAGGACAAGGTGACCTGTATAGAAATCTTCCCATCCTTTGCTTTTCTTCTTTCTATAGCCCCGTTTGTTAGATGTTCCCATGGTCCAACTGTTACCTTCCGGTTGTTTCAATTTCAAAAATGATTTTACAATTCTGATTACTGTCTAGGTCAGAAGATGGCAACTGTTTCAAGCTTTTGACCTTTATTTGCATAAGAAAACAGCGTCACTTTTTGTTAAAATGGCAATACTTCACCCATTGAGACTTGCTGAATTTAACTCATTTTTTGATTATTTTTATACTGAAGCATATTTAGTGGCGCGTTGGTGTTATTATCACGATGAAATGAAATAATACCAATTGTCATTTCAGGCATCCCCCGCAGCAATCCTCACTTGCTTGCTTCCTTACTTCGCCATATCTTCTTATCACTAAGTCATTAATATTACTGAATTCCTCACCTTACGAAACCTGTCATCTGTCTGCAGCAAATTCCTTATTTTCCTCATTACTGATCAATCTTTCCTGTACAGAAGTTCTTTTTCTGTTGTCCAACAAAAAATTCACCTTTATAACAAATTTTCTTCAAATTTTTTTCGATCCCATCAATCAATACAATATGCTGGACGCTTTCTATGGCTATTTCTTTGGCAGTGAGGATGTTAATGGCAACAACACAAAAGTAAGCATTGTAAACTTTTTTGTTTTTCTTGAACATAACTAGCAGTTCCACTTCTTTTGCCTATTGGCCTTAAATTACTGGTTCATTGGGACATCATCAGTGACTGTTGAAATCCTTCAACATTGAGCTGTCAATTGCAAAAATATATTCGGTGCAAATTTTTGCCACAAATTAGTTTTCCTTCTGAATTTTTGACGAACTCTTCCGAAAATCTTTCGAGGTTTAGTGCTGTTGAAGAAGATGGTAAAAATATGCTCTGTAATTTTTAGGAGAATGTTGCCGTGCTGACGAATTCCACCGAATTGGTTGCTTGTACTTTACCAAGCAGAAGTTCGGAAACCAAGGATGACGATTGGATTTTGCTTGATGGTAAGAATGAGATTTCACTGTTCGTGGAATATAGTATTATTGGTACGGTGTACAACATTATTACAGCATCAGTTGTTACGGTTTTTATGATAATATTCTTGTTCATAATAAATAAACAAAAATAGTTAAACGTCCAAATGAACAATTCTTTGATTTATAGGGCAGTTATCTTCCGGTCGTTCCACACCGGTGATTATTCCGGAACCGGATCTGATAGCAATCGATGATGAACTCTCAGCAGTGATTACGGAATCTTTGCGACCACTGTCGCCCGCATCGACTCTTCCACATAATGACGTACTGCTGCAGGAACCTGTCAGATGCGACTGTACGCGGGATTTAAGTCGAGGATCACGCAGCGGAATATCGGGGAAGCATGTCGAACGAATGCGTCAGGCAAAACAGAAGGCTA